GACTACGGGCAGAGGTGCGGAAGCTCCGCTAGCTCTGGGCTGATGGTCATCAAACGACCTGTAGTTACTTTTTTTCCTTTCATCTGTTCCAATTCATTGGGCTTGCCCAACCTGCACTTCCACTGGGGGAAAATGGAGGAGTGTCCCCCTTTGACCAAATGAAGGCTATGCTGGAGAAATGTTCCCTCTAAGCTGTGGAGTCTTGTGAGCAAAAATTCTACTTTGTGAGCTACTGGCATTAAAGTTGTGAGCAAACGATTTGGCTCCTGCATAAATTAGTTTGCTCTGGAGCCATCTTTCCTGAGCTAAGACAAAAATGTGTGAGCTGGAGGCTAAAAACCTGTGAGCTAGCTCACACTAACTCAGCTTAAAGGGAACACTGACCTGCGTGTAGCAAAGCCAAGTGGGATGGAAGCTATAGTGAGGAGGAGCGTTGGGCACGAATGAATGGGAAAAGAACTGGCTGGGCCCAACCCACTGGCCATTTATATTTGTGCATGTCCCACTCTTTCATAGCCATTAACTGCTTTGCCAGGTGATCAGCATGGTTTATTAGAATTCTTTGCAATAAACATTGCTTGTATCATTTGCATCTGAATCGCTTAGGCATCTCCCCATCAGTGTCCAACACAGATCTGTGACCCACACAGAGTTACTGACGCTGGACATTCCATCAGTATAAGCGGCTGCTGTTTCAGCACAATGGATTAGAAGGGTGGAGCACAGCCAGTTATGAGAGCTGTACTGTGCGATTAAATACTTTGTCAACATTTGATAGCATATACAGGACACTCGGTCTGTGATACTTTCATGCTGGGTGACAAAGCGGAAAGAACAACATGGTGGAAACTGGACTGGAACTGGTGGAAAGAAATAGCATGGGGGAACTGAACTGGAAGAGGCAATCCAAACGAGGAAGAGAACCCAGAAGGATGTGTAACAGACTTGCAAACAACAGGCAAAAGGCCCATGTAGTCCATCAGGCAGTACCAAACTGTAGTCACCAGGACGGCCCTGGGATACTGACAAACAGGGGCTGACAGAGGTAGCCATTTCCAATTCCGCCCCAGTGTCTGGTACTTAGAGTCAGCCAAAATAGCTAAACGGAACCTTCAAGACCAGCAATTCCAAGCAGAGTTACACCTTTTTAAACAGAGGGATTTCAACTCTGCCAGTGTCATCCAGCGGCCCCCTTTCCATGAAGTTATCTATGCCTTTTGACAGCCCCCAATCATTACCACGTGTCAGGGCAAGCAACTCTTAACCATTACCCCACGCTGACTCTCACACCACTTAGAATTTTATAAAGATCTCTATTGTCTTCCTTTTCCCCTGCTCTACCTTACACATTTCCCCAAGTAAGGAGATCCACACTCAATCCCTCTTCATAGAAGAATTAAGCAAGAAGCCAGCGGCACCTTAAAGACAAACGCCATTTATTCCAGCATGAGGTTTTGTGAGTTAACAACTCGCTTCATCCATAGCAGATATATTTACACTTGCATAAATACAACAGATATTGTATCTGCTATGGATGTCCTCTTCGAGCATCTGATGAAGTGAATGTTGACTCGTGAAAGGTTAAGCTGGAATAAGCTGTATTCATTTTCAGGGTGTCACCGGACTCCTGCTTAATTTTGCTGCAACAGACTAACACTCCAGAATTATCTTCATAGAAAACAGCCAGATGCGCTAACCAGTCTTTTGGCTTTTCTTTGCTGCATCTTGTCCCACTAATAACAATATAATTTTAGAGACAGGCCTGCCACAGCTATCCACAGGACTTGAATTGCAGCACGCTATAACTTTATATGGACTGGCATCCCAATGCCAGTTATATTTTTCGTCACACCTAACATCACAAAGACCTACTATGGGAACAAAGCATAAAGTTACCCATGAAGGTCCGGTCAAGCAAGAAACAAGAACTGTGATCGGTTCAACTTGCACTGTTCCTTTTGCCCTCCCAACTCTGGATTTGTGCTGTCTTCAATTGCATCCATATTCTCCTTGCCGAAAAGAGACACCTGATACTTTCTTAGTTCATGATTTTGTTCCCATCTTTCTGTGTCTTATTCGACGCTGATTTAATACCTGGTTTGAGCTGTGAGTGGAAACTGAATGTGAGATTCCTGATCTCCTGAAGGAAGGGGAGCAGCAGCATTCTGAGACTGACTGGCTACTGAAAGCTGTCATGATGGAGATTTTGTTTGGAATATCTAGGTTTGAGCTACCAAACGTGACGCACATCTGACTCTCTCGGCTGCAAAACTCCATTTCCTGCCTCAGTCCCGCTGATATACAGAATTCTCAGGAGGCAAAGGTGCTGAGCACGGCTCAGAAGAGGCTACACCCACATTCTACTGGGATCAGGAGAAACGGCATTTAGCGGCTGGTTGTTTCTTGAAAGGAGTGCTGCTTCTGGGCAGAAAAACTGGCCCAGACCATGAAAGGCAGGCAGATCGAACAAGGGAGGTGACGTCCCACTGCAGGACAGATGCCTTTGGGGAGGCCAAGGCTATCTAAGAAGTCAGACAACAGGCTACTCAGCAGTAGGAAGCAAATGCAGACTTGGAAGTGGAAACAGGCTCTTTGCACCAAAGGGAGTCAGGTAGCATCTTGACGCAAATGTGATGGCTGCTGCCAATGAAACATTATTTTAAACTGTACAACCAATAAGACCTCCAGTAGCCAATTAGAAGCTCTGCTGGGCCCACCCACTTTCTTAAAAACACTTGGCAGGTGCCAGGAAAGCTGTCAGAGAGCCCCTGCCTTAAATGCTAACATGATCGCTGTACTTTTCTGGATTACATTCAATTTGACATGATTACATTTCACCCTGTATTATTTACATTTTAGGGCCCTTACTAAAAAAAACCTCAGTTTTCTTCATAGCCACATTAATAAACTTGTATATAGCAAGGATTTAACCACTGTACCGGACAAGGTCATCTCTAGTCTACAAAAGCATAGGCGAGAAATTAGGGATGCAAAACATTAAACCATTAGGATTCATTTATATATTTCTATGTTCATTTAAAAGCGTTCCCAGGCTTTGAAAACTGGCCAAAGGTTACCTGTGCATTCCAGGCTCATTCGTGCCTGAGGGACATATGTTTTTCAATGCCAGCTTTAGTGTTAAACATCTGTGCAGAAGACAGACACTGGATAGTGTTAACATGTATGTTTCCCTTAACAAAAATCAATAGCAGAGCTTATCCTGTGTAAGAATATGTCTGCAGACTAAACAGATCATAAGCCTGTTAACATGTAAATGATAAAATCGATCATTTTAGAATGGTTACTTTGCTGAATAAAATTGGTGGCCATAGTTGGAATAAAACCCTGTCTGTCTTTAAAGTGCTACAGGATTCCTGTTTTATCTGGCTCAGAAGCCAACCAACCAGGAACCAGAAGAGTGTGGCTTGTTTTGTATGGAAAAGGCATCACCACCCACAGGTGTGCGTCTCTCTCTTCAGACAGAACTGCGCCTGCCTGCACCAGAATGCAATGTTCAGAGCAAACAGATGTGCAAAATCATCACATGCACACCCTTAAAATGAGAGGGGAGGGCAGGGAGCTGATGTGGGAGGCACCAGCTAGTCATGCAGCACCATGTGCGCTGTGGCAGTTAAAGGCCTGGCACTTGCCCTGCCCCCAAAGGATTTCGGGATTGGTAGTTCCACAGGGCAAAAGCTGGCATCTGAAACAGGGCCGTCAGACTTCGTATCCCAGCAGGCACCGCGAAGAGCGCCTAGATACTTCCAGAGTTTCCAGGCGTCTGGTGAGGCGCGGCCCCTCAGAGACTCCTACAAGGGGTAGCCTAAGCACGGAGGACTACAACGCCCGGCATCCTTCGGCCCTTACTCCGATTAAAATTGACTTATCATGCTCGTTAGGAAGAAGGGAGCTGCCGTTCCCACGGCCGAAGCGAGAAGGAAAAGAAGAAGCCGAGAAAACGGAGGCAGATTTCCCACAGCCGGCCCCAGACCTATCGCAGACCGGCGATGGAACCCCATCGAACTACATCACCCACCAAGCACAGCATTTTTTCAAATAAAATTGACGGGGCTCCTGGGCCTGCTGGGACTCGTAGTTCTCATTGGGATTCTTGCGTATGGATTTAGATAGCCCATACGCCCCAGGAAAGAATACAAGTCCCATGATGCCCCGCGCGACCTAGGCGATTCCCTTCCCCCCCCCCGGGCCGGGTGAGCTGAGGTGCGGAGTCGGCAGTAACTACGGGGCCCCCTCAGCTGCTCAGCTCTCCATCAGGGGGGCTTACCGGGGTATCGAAGGAAAAGGCACACTCATCCTTATGGACACGGTCGCCGGCCTTAGGTACTCGGATAGAAGGCAATACAGAGAGCAGCGCTTCGCTCAGCTCCGCCATGACAGCTGCTCTCTCTGATACCACCCACGGCCACACCCCACCAATCAGAGGCCGTCCCTTTGGCAGCCAATGAGTGAAGCACAAAAGAACAGCGCCACCGTCTTGGCGTTAAACCCCCGACACAGAGGAGCTTTGCTTGGTCACGCCCCTTTCCCCTTTCCTACCCTATCAGCATTTTGGCCCCTGAAAAGGACAGCCATCTGATCCAATCAAATCTGTAAATGCTGGCCAATAGCTATGATTAAATGCCCAGAGTTTTATTGGCGTTAGAAGGGCGATGGGTCTTTATATTGGTCTAAACCAGCCAATAAAGTAGAGTAACTCGGGGCAATATCCAACTGACTGACAAAACACTAAACCAATAGAAAACCCCAGATAGACGGCTGGGAGCGTCTCATTAAAAGAATGGGCGGTCCTTGTTACTGATTGACAGAAAAGCAAACCAATAGAAACCCACTTTAGAGGGGCGCGTTATACGTTCTGCCAATTGAAGGAGACCTAAAGAGGGGTAGGTGATGGTTTTAAACTAACAAGGAAGAAGGGGCGTGATAAGAATGAGTGGCAGTCGTTGGGTCCAATCATACTTGGCACATGGGGCCTGGCGGTGGAAAGCGGGATATTTGAATCGCAGCTGGCATCTCTCCTCTGAGCTCACTTTGCACGGAGGTTGATTCAGCCTTTATTGTATTCTAGCAGCTGGTTGAGGTAGGTTGGGTTGTTCACTCGGTGGCTTTTCACGGCAGAGGCTAGAGATTCGAACTTGGGTTTTCCGAACTGCTAGTTCCACGCTTTCACCGCTACGCAACAACACTGATTCTGCGGTGGAATGGAGCTGGTAAAATGGGCTGTAGAACTGCACGGGAGGGGCGGCATTCTTTCCCCTCCCCCACTGTGTGAACTGGCAAAATGATCCAGCTGGAAAGTGCACTGAAGGGGGATTATTTAGGTTTGTGTGACTGCAGTCTCCTATTACAAGGAATGTTAGAAAGGGTCTTTTCTCCCGACCTTCTCCAAGAAGGATGCCAATAGAAGCATACAGCCACAGTTCTTTTTTAAGACCCTCTTTCCTCCTAAATCCTGTTGAGTGTATTCAGGCCACCATCACCTTTGCAAATCCCGTGTAAACCAGGGAGGAATTCAGTCTTTGCAAGTAGAAGGGTCCAGGTTCAAACCTGGCCTCTCCAGCTGAGAAGGTTCTGTGGAAAGCCTTAACCTGAGACTTTGGGAGAGCTGCTGCCCTGGTTAGAATCCGCACTACTGACCTGCATAGATGAATGCAAATTATGCCGAACTGAACTATTTTAGAGGGCTTTTCTGCACAGAGAATAGGATTGTGCTGACCAAATGGTTCACAAATATTCTTGGATACATGATGTGGGACTGTGGTCTATACTGCTGTGTGTAGCTTATTGTAAGTAGGATCCTGTTTTGTAACTTCTGTATCGCTTAATGTGTCATGTAAATACCTCTGCTCCTCTTCAGTTCTTTCAGGTGGTTCCAGACTTTCAAAATGCTAATGGCATGGGTCATTAAATGCCCCAATTTGTTGAATTGTACTGACTATGTTTAATCTGCTTTGAGTCCCTGTGAGAAAGATGAACTATGAACAAAATAAAAAATAGAAGTAAATAAATTTAGTAGGTAGCATCCTCCTGCGTGCTAGAACCAGTAGTCAGAATGCAGTGGACTAGAAAGGAAAGAGCTCAACTTGTCTAAATTAGGCTGCAGGTCTTAAATTCCTGCCTATTTCTCTTCTTCTCCCATCATCTTGGCTGCTCCGCTACTCCATGATCATAATAAGCAAGGCCAAAAAGCCTGTGTGCATTGGTGGGCTTCTGTAAGGTCGGAAGGGTATCCTTTTGCGTTGCCTGGGTTGGCAAGAAGAAGAGATTGGATTTATACCCTGCCCTTCACTTGAAGTCTCAGAGCAGTTTACAATCTCCTTTCCCTCCCCCTCCCCACAACAGACACCCTGTGAGGTAGGTGGGGCTGAGAGAGCTCATTCGAGAACTGCTCCTGAGAGAGCTTGTGACTGACCCAAGGTCACACCAGCAGCTGCATGTGGAGGAGGAGTGGGGAATCAACCCCGGTTCTCCCAGATTGGAGTCTGCACTCTTAACTACTACACCAAACCGGCTCTCCTATGCTAATCTACCCCTTTAGCAGTTTTCTCCTAAATCTCTGCCATCTGATAATGTGGGAGTCAGCCAAGAGAAATAGCATCAGGATCGCTACTCATTCTGCTTCCAGAGGCAGAAGGGAGTTAACAGCTGTTGGAAGTCTGTTCTTATACATCAGGGGTCCCTGACCTTTCCGAGCCTGTGGGCACATTTGGAATTCTGACACCGGGTGGTGAGTGCAACCGCAAAATGTCTGGGAAGCCCAACTGCAGGGGAAAATAGGGGGGATTTTAATATATGCCCGGAAAGAGAGGCAATAAAGCCAATGCTGTGCTGACAGCTGCCACTGAGATGATAGTAGGTTAATCTGCATAGCCAATCATATCTCCAGTGGCAAATTGGAAGCCCTACTGGGCAAGAGACCGGTTTGGCCCCACCCACTTTCTGAAAACACCTTGGTGGGCACCAAGTAAGGCCTTGGCAGGTGCCATTGTGCCCATGGGCACCCTATTGGGGACTCCTGTTATACATTCTGGAATGCCAAGCTGGGAGTAACCCTTGTATCATAGGGGGCTGGTTTGGAACAATCTGCTTTTTGGACCCCGGTTTCCTTTTTCTCTGACTGCGTGACTGCAGAGGGATTCTTCTTTCTGCAGAGCCCCTCCTCTGCCGCAGCCTCCGACTGAGCGGGTGCCGTGTTCCCTGCCTGCCGGCATGGGGGCTTCCGAGAGCACCCCCACGACCCCCGCCTCCAAGCCGCTACTCAACAAGCACCTGGCGCATGTCAGTGATCCGCGCTCCCCCACGGCTGGGATCCTGAGAACACCCATAGAGGTACTACGCCTATCCAGCCTTGTGGCCGGAAAATTTTCTATGGGGGTGCGTGCCCCTGACGTGGTGACATGACTTGTGACATTATCAGGAAGTGACTGGCCGGCAGGCAGGCTCTCCCCTCCCATTAATAGAGGCTCAGGCACGTATTTGTGCCAATGGGGCTCCCGGGGGAGGGGGTCATCTGTGGGGGGCACAGCCCTCCCTGGGGCTAGGGGCCTGTGCCTATCCTTTGAGAGCACCTGGCCTGTACAGCGGGGTGGCTTGGACTTTGCTTCCCTGTCCACCTAGTACCCTAGCCTTGGTCCTTTGGGCTCAGTGCTTAGCCTTGCTCTCCTTTCTTTTTCTCTCAGGTAGAGAGCTCCCCACAGGGGAGTCCCATGCTGGATTCCAAGGAAGAGGGATCAGTAGATGACGACCAGAATCTGAACTTGGACCCTCGTTCCCCAACACCTGGCATTTCACGCACACCCATGAAAGCTGTGGTAGCTGGTAATAATAATAATAATAATAATATACTCTATTGTAATTGTACATAGTACAACGAAATTAAAGATGCAATCATTTCGGTGATCTACAACCATACTCATATACACTCACACAACCATCCCATAACTCCCTTAAGGTTCACATTGCAACTTAAACCACCAATGTCACCCAAATTCCAATTTCAGACAGCATTTAAAGTAAGTGGGGAAAGGAAATATTTCTGCACACAGCGAGTGATTAACACGTGGACTTCACTGCCAGAGGATGTAGTGTAAGAAGGCCAATGCTATGCTGGGGATTATTAGGAAGGGTATTGAAAACAGATCAGCCAATATAACAATGCCCCTATATAAATCAATGGTGAGACCTCATTTGGAATACTGTGTGCAGTTCTGGTCACCACACCTTAAAAAGGATATTATAGCTTTGGAAAAAGTGCTGAAAAGGGCAACTCGAATGATAAAAGGGTTGGAACACTTTCCCTATGAGGAAAGGTTAAAGCGCTTAGGGCTCTTTAGCTTGGAGAAAAGACAACAGGGGTGACATGATCGAGGTTTACAAGATTATGCATGGGAAAGAACAAGTAGAGAAAGGGGTACTTTTCTCCCTTTCTCACAATACAAGAACTTGTGGGCACTCCATGAACTTGCTGAGCGGTCGGGTTAGAACGGATAAAAGGAAGTACTTCTTCACCCAAAGAGTGATTCACACACGGAATTCACTGCCACAGGAGGTGGGGGAGGCTACAAGCATGGACAGCTTCAAAAGGGAATTAGATGAGCCTATGGAGCAGAGGTCCATCAGTGGCTATTAGCCACAAGGTATAGATAGGGGCTCTGGGGCAAGTGATGCTCTGTATTCTTGGTGCTTGTGGGGGAGGTCAACAGTGGGAGGGCTTCTTGTATCCTGGCCCCACTGCTGGACCTCCTGATGGCACCTGGTATTTTTGGCCACTGTGTGACAGAGTGTTTGACTGGATGGGCCTTTGGCCTGATCCAACATTGGCGTCTCTTATGTTCTTATGTTAATGATGTCGACATTTATGGAAAAGAGGTCTAGCAGTGGCTACTAGCCATGGTGACTAAAGGGAAGCTCCAGAGGCATGAATCCTGTGAATTCCAGAGCCAGGAGGCAACATCAGGGGAAGGCCTCAGCCTCTGTTCTTTGTTTGTTGGCCCTCCAGAGGAACTGGTTGGCCACCGTATGACACAATAGAACTAGTAACAATGTTAATGTATTGGACAAATGCCATGTGTGCAGTTCATGAATATAATCCTTGCACAATAAAGCACAATGATACCAAATATGAATCTTCTGATACACAATGAAATATTCCATAAAATTCTCTTTCCAAAGTAGTTCTTTCCAACGAAGAATCCGGACACTGAAGACTTCGTTTCGATAATCCTCCTCAGGAAAATTACGATTCTAAGTATTTCAGAGGCATCGAGTTCCAGAAAACTGTATAGCTTCAAACGACTAATGTAGAAGGATCTGCCTGTTGTGAATATTTCATAGGCTCAATCCAGGTCCTAACTCTGCAACAGTTTTGAAATCTGGAGCGTGGGGTTGTAGACATTGACCCAAGGGGCTGCCTTGAATGTCAGTCTGCCGAGATCATTCTCAGGGTCTTGGAGAAAGGGAGGGGAGAGCGGCCCCCTAACTCAAGTCTTCTTCATTTTCCAGCCGCAGAAGGTCACTTCCAAAGTCCCGCCACTCCCCTCCCTCTCCTCAACACTCCAGAAAGTCCCTGACACAGTCTGAGGTGTTGCCCAGTGACAGAGCCCAGTGCTGAACGCAAGCCCTGCTCCTTGGACCCTCCCTATTGTCAGCAAGCTGCCAAAGAACTCTGTGCTGAGCACAACCTTCCCTGCTTAGGGTTCCCCCCCCCTTCATGTTCCTTAGTGATATCCAATTGCACATGCTTGCTGGTATAATGAATCGCTCGTTTGCTTGTCTCGTGCATTCCTTTCTATGAACGCTAGTGTTGCTTTGAACTATGGTGATCAGCAAGGTCACAGGTGTGGGGAAGAGCCGGCTTCGCTTAGTCTATAATGAATTGGAGTGTGAGAAGAGCCTAATTGTTTATCTTTTAGAAAACCGTTGATTCTCAGACTACGGGCGCGAATATGGGTCCACCCACACGAGCGGGAACCATGTCCATTGGTTATCGCCAGTACGAATCTACTTTATTATTCTTTGCCCCAACCGTTGTAGTTATTCCAAGCAGTGAACGTGTTCCTGTTCCATCATGGCTTCAATAAAATACTACTTTGCTACAAACGTGTATTAATTGCAAGTTGTGGGGATTGGACACCTATCTAGATTGTCTTCATGTTGTCTTTATTCCCTGGTGCAAGTTTTCCCGCTGACCCTCAGTTCTTTCTCTCGCCTCCCTCAGACACCATCAACAGCCTCGTGAAGCAGCTCAGCGAAGCCTTTGCGGCGACAGCAGCCAAGGAGGGACCGCTCCCTGAGGATCCCTCCCCTCAAGGCCAGAAGCGCGAGAGGGCCTCTGTCACAGGGGTTTCAAGGGAGGAGGCCTCCCCTGGCGAAGCGTCCCAGAGGGAAGAGGAGAGGAGGGAGCAGCTGGCTGAGAACGCTTCTGCCGTGGCTGCCCCAAGGGCAGGGGCAAACCCCGCTGATGCCCTCCGGCCTGCAGGTAAGGCGGGGAGTGTCCCAGACAAAGGCATGCGTTGGCGTTTCGGTGCTTAGACTCAACTGCTGTGGGGAGAGAAGAGTGGAGCTTCCCGAGTGGTGGAAGATAATAGGCTAGGCTGCGTACATAAAGATATACCTCGGGTGGGGGAGATTTCCATCTGAACAGGACCGCCTAATGTCCACTGGGGGAGAATCTATAGGGCCTTGGGTTGGATCCAGACTCAAACTGGCAATTTTGGCCAATCCCCACCTCCAGGAGCAGCATTTCATGGCGATCAGAAGGCTGTGGTGGGACTGGGGAAGTAAAAAGGTCCCTTCTGCCCACAGAAAGTTTAGTCTAGAGCCAGCCTGTTCTCAGAGTACTCAGTCTTTGGCAGCGGCGTTTGTTGATGGGTGTCAAACATACGGTCCGTGGGCCAGAGCCAGCCCATTCAGGGTTCTTATCTGGCTCCTGAACAACTGCTCATTTTACCTTTATTGCCAGGTGACCAAGGCTGTGCACTGTCTCCCTGTATCCTGTCCAGTGTTCCCTCTAAGCTGAGTTAATGTGAGCTAGCTCACAGTTTTTTAGCCTCCGGCTCACAGATTTTTGTCTTAGCTCAGGAAGGATGGCTCCAGAGCAAACTAATTAATGCAGTAGCCAAATCGCTCGCTCACCACTTTAATGCCGATAGCTCACAAAGTAGAATTTTTGCACACAAGACTCCACGGCTTAGAAGGAACATTGATCCTGTCCCAGTGCTAATGAGTAATGAACAGTGGAACTGGGAGGGTGGACATCAGGGAGATACTTTAAGGAAATACTGTAAGAGCGTTAATGTTTTAAGCACGTCTGTATTTTGAGTAAAAAATGATATTGTTAATTGGGTTTGCCTGGGTCCTTTATAAAGTTCATGTCTCCCGTACCTGGCATTACGTTTTATGGCCCACATGGTCTGGCCCAACAAAGTGACATTTAGGTCATATCTGGTCCGTGTAACAAATGAGTTTGACACCGCTGGTCTACGCCTTTGTAACCACAGAGAAGAGTGACCCTTCCCTGGGTGAAGAAGGAACGCAGCGTGCGCCGCCTGTCAGCTGGTGGAACAAAATGTGCCCATGTGTCAAGGACTGTGTTGCTAGAGCCAAGGGGCAGCGTGCGCAGATGCTGCTCTCGGCCCTCCCCTTGGAGAGTGGGGAGGGACGGTGCCTGTCCAGACGGGGCTAATCCGTGTTCTGCCTCTTTCTTTCCAAGGGAGCAAGCCAGTAAGGCGCAAGCCCAGTGGCAAAATGCTGGCCATCGCCACAGGCTCCGGGCGGTCTCCTCTCAGCATCCTGCAGGATGACAACTCTCCCAGTGCCCTTGCTTCTCAGGTGATGCATTTGGAGAGGAGGGGAGGTGGCGTGGAAAGGGGGTCATCTGTGGGGTGAAGCGTTTTACCTGCCTTCTGCTTTATTATCCGGGCTTCTGGCGCGTTGGCTTTTCCCACCCTGGTGTTAGTCTTCTTGAGCACAGGCCATTGGTGGTAGGAGCAGGGCTAGCTGTTTGCTGTTTTCTCAGCCCGTTTCTTTCTTCTGGCTTCAGCGCTGCGTTTAGCCTGGACGTTTTGGCCGGGGATACCTTTCACACCACGTCCGAACTGGCTGTGACCAGTGTTACCTCTAAGCTGAGTTAGTGTGAGCTAGCTCACAATTTTTTAGCCTTCGGCTCACACATTTCTGTCTCAGCTCAGGAAGGGTGGCTCCAGAGCAAACTAATTTCTGCAGCAGCCAAATCGCTCACTCACAACTTTAATGCCAGTAGCTCACAAATTAGAATTTTTGCTCACAAGACTCCACAGCTTAGAGGGAACATTGGCTGTGTGACTGCGATGGAAAGGGATTTTGGGGTCGTAGTGAACAGCTCAATGAAAGTGTTGACCCGCTGTGCTGCAGCGGTGGAAACGGCAAACTCTGTGCTGGGTTTTTTAAGGAAAGGGACTGACAAAAACAGGCGATATTGTAGTGCCCCTATATAGGGATATGGTGTGTGGTCTCATTTAGAATCCTGTGTGCAGTTCTGCTCCCCGTAACTCCAAAAGGACATTGCAGAGCTGGGAAAAGTACAGAGGAGGGCAACCGAGATGATTAGGGGGCTGGAGCGCCTTTCCTATGAGGAAAGGATGAAGAGTCTGGGACTTCTCAGTTTAGAAAAGAGACAACTAAGAGGAGGACATGATAGAGGTGTATAGAATTCTGCACAGGGAGGGAGAGAGTTGGCAAGGAACTTTTGCTCCTTCTCCAAAAAATACTAGTGCTTGGGGGCACCTGATGAAGCTGATGGGTAACAGATTCAGGATGGAATAAAGATCAATAATAATTATCACATGGCAGTGTGTGTAGTATAGCCAGGAGATCTGAAGATTGTCTGGCAGCCTGAAGTTGTAGCTCTTTCAGCATTATACACCACTAGGGGGTGAGCTTGAGAGACCTCTGAGAGCTGTGACTGACCCAAGGTCACCCAGCTGACTTCATGTGGAAGAGTGCTGAATCAAAACTGGTTCCCCAGATTAGAGTCTGTCGCTCTTAACCACTCCACCGTGCTGCCTCAGGACGGAGGAAAGGAAACACTTCTTTACTCAACCAGTAATTAAACTATGGAACTTGCTGCCAGCGGAGGTCGTGATGGCCACAGTCATCGATGGCTTTCCTAGGGGCTTTCGAAGGGGGCTAGACTGATTCATCGAGGACAGGTCCATCTGTGGCTACTACTAGCCATGGTGAATAAAGAGACCCTCCACATCCACAGGCAGCATCCTTCTGAATATCAGTGCTAGGAGGCAACATCAGGGAAGGCCTTGGCCTTTATGCCCTGTTTTTTGGCCCTCCTGGGTGACTGGTGTTGGCGGACTGTAGATTTGCAGTAAAATGGAACACAAGCTATTTAAAGAATAAAGTCAGTTTATTAAGAAGAGAACAAACTTCGTAAGAAAGAGGACAGAGAAAAAGACGTCTAACTGTCTTAACTAGCTAGGAAGAGAGAGTAACAAACTGTTCTCAGCAGGAGCAGGAAACAGCCCTAACTGAGCCAGGAAGGAGACTATTTGAAAATAGTAGGCAGTCTCTAATCTTGCTATGCTAAATAGTTGTCCCCTCTGCTGCCCCCTGCAGGATATTCTTGTCATCTTCTTTATCTATGCACGATAGACATTGCCTATTCCAACAACAGGTTTGGCTACTTTGTGGAACAGGATGCTGGCCTAGAAGGAACCACTGGTCTGATCCAGCAGGGCTCTTCTTACATTCTCATTTTCATGGCTATCGGCTGTAACTCTCCAGGGGCTCATTGTGGGAGCCCATGATGTATTTGCACAGCTTCGAGGTACTGAAGCTCTCTTAGCTGTTCTGAACGGGCTTCTTCACAAACAGACAGATCCCTCCTCCAGATAAATTACTGACCTTCTGTCGTTGAGAGGCTTGGGGGCTGCAAGCAGACTCCCAGCTCGCGTTTGTGTCAACTTTGGGTAAAGTCCAAGAGCCGCTAGCCAGCTCAGAAGCTACAGGGACTCCTGGGCCTCACTGTGCTGTAAGCCGCTCTTTGTCAGCAAGGTTCTGCTGCCTTCCTAGTCCCCAAAACCTTCTATGTCTTGGTTGTACTACACAGCATGACGTTATGGACTGAGGTGATGCCTTCTCCACACCAGCCCTGGAATGTAGTGAGGCCCACCACTTCCAGCCAAGCAGGCATATGTCTGCCTGTGGGCTGTTTGGTCTCAACTTGCGGCAGACTTGAAGGGCTAGAGTGGTCTGTACCACTTCAGTTTGCAGGGGGGAGGGGGTTACATTTTTGAGCTTCCCCCCCATCACATAGACACATTAACTCCCTGTAAGCAGGAAACAGTATGCAAAAACTTGGAGCTAGGATTTGTTTTCTTGCTGTGCTAATAACTTTTCCAGGCCATTTTCCCCCTGACGAAGAGCATTATATGACTCTCCCACGGAGTGTCTGAAGTGGTACGCTCCAGTTTGCTGTAGTGGTTGGGAGCAGGGATTCTAATCTGGGAGAACCGGGTTTGATTCCCCACTCCTCCACATGCAGCTGCTGGCGTGACCTTGGGTAAGTCACAAGTTCTTTCAGAGCTGTTCTCTCAAGGGCAGTTCTTCAGAGAGCTCTCTCAGCCCCACCTACCTCACAGGGTGTCTGTTACGGGGAGGGGAAGGGAAAGGAGTTTGTAAGCCGCTCTGAGACACCTTCAGGTAGTGAAGGGCGGGGTATAAATCCAATCTCTTCTCTTCTTCTTCTTCTACCACCCCTGTTCTGCTGCCCAGGTAGACAAAGGACACCCCAGGCCTCCCTCCCAGCAGCAGCTTCTCCTAAGAGCTGCTGCCACCGTGGAATCAAAGGGGGGGGGGGGTGTAGGGTGCCACTGTGAAAATTGGAGGGAGGAGAAAGCAGTTTGGGGAGAAGGGGCCTTTTCTTTTCCTCCGCTAGAGCTGGGCTAGATTATTCTGTTTTGCCAGAAATCTTTGCTGTTAGATTCAAAGGTTCTTGAACCTCATAATCCGCTTACTGATTGCCTTGATATCCTATCTTGGAATCCTCCTGACCTGATAGACTGAGAAGCTTTTGCTGTTCTTGTAATCTGCTTTGGGTCCCAGTGACAAATGCGGACTATGGATAGAAATAATACCTGTCTCTTTACCGCCCATACGCAGTAGGTATCTTGGCCTCCTCTGAGGAATCAAGAGGGCAGGCGGTGCAGTAGAGCCAAGAGATACATCTCTTTCTTTCCCACCACCGGTTTGGTGTAGTGGTTAAGTGCGCGGACTCTAATCTGGGAGAACCGGGTTTGATTCCCCACTCCTCCACTTGCAGCTGCTGGTGTGACCTTGGGTGAGTCACAGTTCTCTCAGAGCTGTTCTGGAAAGAGCAGTTCTCAAAAGAGCTCTCTCAGCCCCACCTACCTCACAGGGTCTCTGTTGTGGGGAGGGGAAGGGAAAGGAGTTTGTAAGCTGCTCTGAGACACCTTTGGGTAGTGAAGGGCAGGGTATAAATCCAATCTCTTCTTCTTCTTCTTCACCCCAGTGGCCACTGCGAGATTTGTAGCCTCTTTTCCTGCGCAGGAATTTTGCAGGTAGACATCTAACTGAAGCTGGCCGAGGGCTCTCTTCTCTCTCCATTATGGTGCCTTGGTGCAGATCGAATGCTACTCCGTGGCTTGACGGTTGTCTACAAACTAGCCTCCGGTTCTCCTGCACATCTTCTTCCCATCCTAGTTTCCAAGGCTTTTGTCGAAGCAATCGGATGGTGGCGTGTGGCTCTCCACCAAATCAGAATTGCAAGCCACCCTTGATGGGGGACTTGCAATTTGCATTTGGAGAACCGCTCCAAACCAGTATCTGCAGATCTGGATCTCCCAAACTGCAGTTTGTTGCTAGTCAGGGAGTCCAGGAAGGGGAGGGGCTTGAGGCTTCCCGATGGAACACCGAGCCGTGGTTTGGTGTTATCAGGACTATGCCAATGTGACTGTCCCATCCCCTCCCCCTTAACTGAGGGTGAATGTCAAATGCCTTCCTCCTGACGTTGGACCTCTCTCATTTTTTCAGAGCAAGAGGCACCCATCAGTGGCAGACAACCAAGGAGAGCGCAAGGAAGGAGCCTTGCCCTCTGGCCGAGCCCTCAAAGCAGGCGGCTGTGGCCGGGGCTATTCCTTGAACAAGGAGAACCTGCAGTGTCGCCTGGTGGAAAATTAGTCCCCTTCCAGCCCTCCTGGAATTCCTGGCCTCTTCACGAGCGGAAGGAGCTGGAGAGGACGGGGCACGGTGGCCTTCCTCTTCCAGACAGCCTGTTTTGCTGCGTTCTCTCTTGGCAAAGGAAGGAGCAGCCTTTGTGTACGTTTCTCGCCTAGTTTCTTCCTTGTGTGTTTCTTGTATGGGCCTCTCTTCTGAAATGTCCTTTCTGTCACCCCACACACACACACACACACACATTCCTGCCTGTGGGAATTAAATTTCACTTTGGAATGAGGAGATGGCTGTCCGTGGTATTTTGCCTCCTTCGTCGTGGTTGGAAGCCCAGCAGAAGAACTTGATTGTGAGAATGGTTTTTGGAGCATGAGGCGTTATCACTGTATGAATCCAGGAAGCTACTTTCGACTAAATCAGACCATCAGTCGGGTGTAGTGGTTAGGAGCACGGACTCTAACCTGGGAGAACCGGGTTTGATTCCACACAGCTCCCCACATCATATTTTGAGAGCCAGTTTGGTGTAGTCGTTAGGAAGAACCAGGTTTGATTCCCCACTCCTCCACACGCAGCTGCTGGTGTTACCTTGGGTCAGTCACAGTTCTCTCAGAGCTGTTCTGGAAAGAGCAGTCCTCAAAAGAGCTCTCTCAGCCCCACCTACTTCACAGGGTGTCTGTTGCAGGGAGAGGAAGGGAAAGGAGATTGTAAGCCGCTCTGAGACTCCTTCGGGTAGTGAAGGGCAGGGTATAAATCCAATTTCTTTTCTTCTTCAGTCCCTCAAGGTTGTTATTGTCTACTCAGACCGGCCATGGCTCTCCAGGGTCTCTGGTGGAGCTTTTTTACATATGACCTACTTCCAGTGGCTCAGTGGTTAAGACACTGAACTGCAGTCTGGAAAGTCAGTAGTTCAGCAGTTCAAGACCCGAGTGCTGCATGATGGAGTGAGCTCCCATCTCTGGTCTCAGCTCCTGCCAATCTAGTAGTTTAAAAGCAAGAAACAGGAAGTAGATAAATTTGGTGGGAAGGTAACCGCGTTCCATGCACCTCGGCATCTAGTCACACTGGCCACATGACCACGGAAATGTCTTCGGACAGCGCTGGCTCTTCGACCTGGAAATGGAGATGAGCACCGCACCCCTAGAGTCGGATTTGACTAGCTTTTGAGCAAGGGAAAGCTTTTACCTTTACTTCCAGATTGGTTTAACTGGGCTTGCCGGGGATTGAACAGGGGAACTTCTGCATGCCAAACAGATGCCGTGCTTCTCAGCCACAGCCCTACACCTGCCTTACACGAGGCCCCGAGTCTTCCTGCTAGATGGCAAGGCAAACATAGATAGTGATCACCTATCACTTGGGCAATAACGTGTGTTGCTTGCTGCCTGCCTGAGAAAAAAATGGAGGAGAAGGAAAAGAGGGAAGCCACTTGGGGGGGCCCCATTGTGCATAAAAGTGGGGAATAAATGAAATAAGTGAGATGCACTGTCTGTTGAAAGGGCTTGCGGAGGCCCGGTGTGTAGCTGTGGGAGAGGTCTTTTCACTCAGAAGGCAGCTCTTCAGTGGTTGGACTCGAGGCATTTCCAGAGGTTTAGTCCCACGGGGTGGGGTGACCAGTCCTCAAATCCACAGGGAGCCTTTTCGTGCAAGGAGGAGGACATGAGCAGATGTCCTTTTCTGTTTACCCCGTACTTATGCTAAAGAAAGCCCAAGCAGTAGCAATAGCATTACATTCTGTAACGGTGGGGGGGAAGTTCCGTGCATGGATACCAAGTTCTTCAGTGCCTTTAAAAAAAATTTATATCCTGCTTTTCTTCCCGCTCAGGGACAAAACAGCTTTTCACATCGTTCCCCCTCTCTAAATTGTAAGGACAACTTTGAGGCTCAGGTTGTGACAGGCCCAAGGTCCCCTGGCAGGCCTCCGCAACTGAGCAAAGCTAGTCCTCCCAGGTCCTAGTTTGACACTCTGACCTCTGCCACATTGTCGGTACCCTGAGGGAAAAGGCTGTGTATAGTTTCCTTCTCTGGTGGGATCCTTCCCTATCACCTCTGGCAGGACGGGAAATGGGACGCTCATGGAGTTATTGCATCGTCTCCATGAAAGGCTGAGAGCTGTTGACCAGGAAACTTAACTTAAGAAACATTTCATTGGGAACCTTTGGCTGTAAAAGCTCAGGAGAATATATAAGTTGACCAGAGAGAAGTACTACTGGACATGTGATTGCACTGGAGGTTTCATTTGTATTTTTGTATTTCTCTTCTTTGCCCAGTGGTTAAACTTTGGAACAGTTGTTTTCTGGTCTCTAGTTCATGTTCTGTATATGTATGATTGTATATATTTTTACATATCAGCCAACATGTTCTATTTGTATTAGACCTCTGAGGAAGGCCTGTAAAGGCTGAAACGCGTTAGGTCTATTTCATCAGCCTTTGTATGTTTTTATATTTGTATATGAGGTATGAATGGGCCCTTATTCGTTATTTTAATTTTTGTTTACATATATATTTTTTAGGTTTCATAATTAGATTTTAAGAGTTGGCCCTCTTCTATTCTTGACTAACCTTTATAGGTTCTGAAGACCAGGAAACGGGCCACTGGAACTTCACTTCGGCTAAAAAGCTTGGGTAATCTGAGGAAAAGCCACTTACAATGCAGGTTGGCCTCGCCTGCACCTGTTGCTAGGGGAGGAGGGAATGACAGCGAACTGCAGCACTGCAGGGTTGTGGAAGAATCCACAACTGAGGGGCTCAGTTCAGGCATCGTGTGAGCCGAAAGCTACAGAACTCTCCACATGGATTTGCAAGATGTCTAAACTGACCTGCTGTAGCCATCACGGGCATTCCGCCTGCAGAGGCTTCCCCACCACGCAGAGGGGAATGGGGATGGCATGCGTAAGCCGCTCCCGGTCCCAGTTTGACTGTGGCCCTTTTGGAAGCTCAAGCTGTGTTATGGGTACTAAGTGAAGGTTGGCACAAACCATGTTTGGCCATATGCAAAGTGAAATATCTTAGAACAGTGGTTAGGTGAACCTATGGCACGGGTGCCAGAGGTGGCACTCAGAGCCCTCTCTGTGGGCACGCGTGCCATCGCCCCAGCCAGGCCCAGACCATCATTAAAGTGTCGAATTCTCTGCCAAATAATTTAAGTAAATGAAAACATTTGGGATTGCTTTCCTTACTTTGTTTGGATCATCTTAAGTTAATTTATGAGTTGTTTTTTCTAAAGTAAAACCTCAGTATTCAGGTTAAATGGCCGTGTTGGCACTTTGCAATAAATAAGTGGGTTTTGGGTCGCAGATTGGGCACTCGGTCTCTAAAAGGTTCGCCATCACTGTCTTAGAAGAAGAAAAGATTGGATTTATACCCCACCCTACTACCTGAAGGAGTCATAGAGCAGTTTACGATCTCCTTTCCCTTCCCCTCCCCTCCCCACAACAGGCACCCTGTGAGGTAGGTGGAGCTGAGAAAGCTCTCTCAAGAACTGCCCGTGAGAGAACAGCTCCGAGAGAACTTGTGACTGACCCAAGGTCACACCAGCAGCTGCATGTGGGGAATCAAACCTGGTTCTCCCAGATTAGAGTCCGTGCTCCTAACGACTACACCAAACTGGCTCTCAAAATATGATGTGCTCTGAGCGATCTGCTTACGAGCAGTAATGCAAGCATGGTTTTGGTAAGGGTTCTTGACTCCCACAGCAGGCAAAGATTGACAGTTCTCAAAACTGGAGCTGTTTCAGAGGTTCTGTCAGATCTGGGTGTAGTTCCTGATACCTGCAAAGTCTCTAGCGCAGGGATGTCGAACTCACTTGAAATGTGTTATTTAAAGTTCAAAAAATCTTTAATTGTGTTTGTCTCTGTCCTTTATAAAGTTTATATTTCTGTGACCTGGCATGACCTTTTATGACACACATGGCCCGGCTCAACAAAGTCTCATTCATGTCAGATCCAGCCCTCATTTAATGAGTTTGACACCCCTGCACGCTTGGAGTGGGATCTCTTGGGGCTAGAGATGGAGACACGCCTCCTCAGCAGGGAAGGTGCAGCAAAGTAATTAAAAATAAGAGGGAAAAGGTGGTGAATTGAAATGGCAGAGAAGGAGTGGCCGTGGCTATAGGTAACTTTTAAAAGGCATGATACCAATGCCTGGAGAACAGATCCATTGATGGCTCTTAGCCATGATGGCTGAATGGAACCTCCATGTGCAGAGGGAGTGTACCTGGGTTGCAAGGGAGGCAGCAACATGGAGAGGCTTTGGATGGGTGGGGCTTCTGACTGGCCCAGGCCAGAAACAAGATGCTGGACTAGATGGCCCTGTGATTGGACCCAGCAGGGTGCAAGAGAGCTAGCTGACGTCAAGGCCTGCCTTGCCCTTTCGGTGTCTGTGGTGACAGGCTAGTCGCCTCTTCCCAAAATCCCCTTTTGCTCTGTAAGGAAGGTGAAATGGTTGGTCTGTTCAGCCAAAGCCCCTGGGGGTTGCCAGCAGACAGGAAGGGGGCATCGCATCCAGGGAAGAGGGGCAGAGATGCCCTGGGTGGGGCAGCCGTGTTGGACTGAAGCAGTAGGAACAACGTTTGACCCCAGTGGCACCTTAAAGACCAACGAAGTTTTATTCAAGGTTATTAGCTTTTTGTGTGTGTGCACACTTCCTCAGATACATTGGGGGGAAATGCCATACCTTGAATAAAACTTTGTTGTCATAAAGGTGCCACTGGACTCAAACCGATGCCCCAGAGTCTGAGCAATCCACTTTTCCACAATAACTGGGCCTAACTGTTCTAGGGTTTCCTTCCTGCCCGCGGGAGTCAGGCTGATTGGCCCACCGGGGGGGGGGGGGGCGGTTTGAATGCACTATATCTCTTGATGCTTGCCATGTATTAGTTATTCCTAACAGTGAACATGTTCCTGCAACCATAGTTCTAACAATAAAGTATAACCTTGGAAGCGTGTGCTCAGTTGTTTGACTGTGGGTCCTGACAGCGGGGTAGAAATTTATTAAATCAAATCTGTGATCCTTGACAGCTCCCCTACTCTGCCCATGAATCTCACCAGCCCAGGTGAAGGCTTTGGGGTCCCATTTCTCACTGGAAATGAAGCCAATGGGATGACTGGGTGCCAGTTTTCAAATCATCTAGCAAAGAAGTCCCCAAAGACCGGATCCTTGTGCTCTGTGACGGCTGGAGGAGCAAGGAGCGCCGCATCCTGGTGCCTGGCCCACTGGTGATCAGGCGTGTTAGAATGTTAAGTAA